ATATAACATGAATGAATTTCCTGTGTTCTGTGTGAGGGCCACCTCCCCTAAATATCACATTATCTATATATAGATGTTACAAATCCCTAGAAAATTCCAAAATGTATTTCACATAACAAACTCTCAACTTGTGTGCTGTTTTGAATGATAGTACATTAATTATATTGTAACTTTCCTACTGCGGTAGACATTATTAACCACTTTTTTTTTTTTTTTTTTTTTCCAGACAGGGAAGTGACAACCAGCTCAGAATCACACTGGCTTTAAACAAGGCTTATCTGTGCCAGCAAACATAACTTGTTTATGGAAGTATTCTTAAAAGGACTTTTTATTTTCATTGTTCACGTATTTTCAGTTAGCTTGCAAACTAATGGGGCTTCCTTTGAGCTTTTGTGTGCATGCCCTCAAGAGTTGCTCGTACCCCATTCCCTGTTGCTCTATCTCAGTCTCTCCCAGACTCTGAACGCCCGTTTTCTTCCCTAATGGTAAAATCTTAAATCCCGAATATGAGAGGATAAAGAAATACTTGTGAGACGTTGTGTTTCATTCTTTTGCTGTTTTGATAATTAGCTTTTGAAAGATGTCTTGGGTGGTGCTGTGATGACCAGCCACCTGCAAAGTTTAGTTGGTCCACAAGTTTACGGTGTTTTAAAAAGGAAGCAATATACTTGTGGACACCAAGTAGAGAAAGGGTTAAAAGTAATGTGTGAGCACTTACCATATGTCAATCCTACTCCAAGAGTTTACCTTACTGGAACCATCATTGCAACCAACCAGGCAGGTGTAGACAGTGCCTCTCCAGTTACAGATGAATGGTGGAAGGCAGAAAGATAAGACATTGGCCTAGAGTTTCAAAGCTGGCATGTGGAGCCTGGTTGGAAAGTGCTAGAATCTGTGACCTGGAAGGAGCCCTGGAGTGATGAGGCGACACACACCTAGTAGTAGAGAGGCGAGGAAGACTCCACATTCCAACAGAAACTGACCTGACACCGCCCACAACCACATGTTCACTTTGCAGTGCGACCCAAGACACCACTTTCTTTCATTGTGACATGAGATTGAGTGACAAGAAGTGCAGGATTAAGTTGTCATGAGAGTCCCTAACTAAGGACACATCATGCTCTTGTCATCACGCCCTGCCCAATAGACTGTATGGGATCAAACTGCAAGCCAAAATAAACCATTCTTACTTGATATTTGGTCACAATAACAAAGAAGTAGCTGATGCAGGAGGTAAACACAAGGTTTAGTAGATGAGTAAGACGTTAGGGCAGCAGTGTGAATTTCCATGCTGGTGTAGCCGCTACAAGGAAGGACCACAATTTTCTCTAGCTCCCACCACTACCAGAAATGACCTTGCTGAGAAACTGAAAGCCTCATCCCCCCTCCCCAGACCTCTAAGAGCCAGTTTTGTGTGACATCAGAGAACAGTTCCAGTTACAGCTGGAGGGAACCCTGACTTCCATGGCTCATTTGGAAGCCCTGCATGGATTTGCATAGAAGCACCATCTCCTGAGTCAATAGGGAGGGGAATGGGTTTTGTTTATGTTGTCTAGCTCATGAAAGTCTTCTCATGGAGTTTCCAGAGAGAAGCTGAACACGATAAATGACCTACAGTGTTTGGTATCCAAGGCAAAAGCCTATTAAAAACCCATTTCTCCAAAGCACATTGTCCCATGTGCTTTATAGCAAAGACATCCCACTGAGTGCATTTAACAAATGAGGACTCTGAGACAGGAGGGTTGGTTGGCCTGGAGGTAGGCACTGTTCTGGAAGGAGAGAGACGAGAGACTGAGATGAGAATTCTTTGCTGTTACATTTGCAGACTACAACTCAGGAGCGCATAGTGAGTTGCCTGCTAGCTGGAGGGGGTGAAGTGAGAAAAGCCGAGCCACCCAAACACTCTGAACATCCCAACTGCCAGATGGAGTTCAGAGTGATACCCACGGCCCTGACTTTATCCTCGTACACTTACGAAATGGATTCCACTTTGCACCTCAGTGGTTATCCTGTCTCAGTTGGGAGGATGATGGTGAGTTGAGGATGCATGCCCTGCCACTGGCTCTCCTTTAAGGTTAGTGGTAGACACCAATATTTTATTTTATTTATTTTTTAAAAAGACTTTTGTTTCATGTGCGTCGAGGTTTTGCCTGTGTATGTATCTGTGAAAGGATGCCAGACTCCCCGGAACTGGAGTCACAGACAGTTGTGGAGTTGCACTGTGGGTGCTGGGATTTGAACCCGAGTCCTCTGGAAGAGCAGTCAGCATCCCTAATTGCTGAGCCATCTCTCCAACACCAATATTTTAACCAACTACATTTGTATACTTGAAGGGGTTTTCCACTTTCATTCTCACATCCAAAGAGGATTTATGGCGTTGGATCTCTTTGTGTGGTTTGCTCACAATCCATCCCTGATATCCCTGTCACCTGTGAAGCTGTAGCACAACTTTTTGGCATCCCTGCCCTGGAAGCATCTCACATCCCACACTCATATTCTGAGCCTTAGACTCTCCTTCTGGAGACTTCGATTTTAAGGAGCGTCTGCCGTCTGTCTGTTTCTTTGGTAATGGCCCTGACCATGGAGCTGGAAAACTTGCTAATGCAGCCAGCATTAAGACCCCCAAAGAGGATCCCGAATCCTCAGTTGCTTGAAGGACTCCTTGGGGGAGGGGCAACCCTGCTTACCGAGCTGAGTTGAGACAGATTCTGAAGGAGCCATGTACCAGTAGTGTTCCTCAATTTACAATGGGATTAAATATTGATAAACCTCCCATACACCGAAAATATCAAGTCCATGACTCACTGGTTACACTTACCCAACTTAACATCATAACTTAGCAATATAGGGTGTTGTTGATTCTATTAAAGTACAACATTTCGGTATTTATCGTAATGTCAAAAAGTCGAGGCTGAGCCACCGGAAGTCAGGCATTGTGTGTACAGCAGTGTACATGCTCTAGGAAGTACTGGCCGACAGAGCTCTCGGTAGTCTGGGGAGCATCTTGGACATGTGCTGTTTATCATGGTGGCCACTAGCTGCACACAGCTATGGAGTGCTGGGATGTATTGAGTAAGACAGAAAGCAGGATTTTAGTTTTATTTACATTTAATCTGCTGAAGTGGGCATAATTGACTCGTGGTTGACATGGTGGAGAGTGGAGTCTTAGAGTCCTCTGCAGGCTCAGGTGGAGGTTTGCAAGCCGTGTCCAATCCTCCTTGGTAGCTCCTGGACCATCTCATCATCCCTGCTTCTTGGTGTTCTTTAGAAACACCTGTTTAATACTTTCTTTCCCCTCAGTCCCCTCTGTTCTCTCTTCCACGTCTAGGGAGATAGGCCTATCTGTTGCTTTTGGTTCTCTTTCCTGTATGTAAGCTTTGATGATGTGGGGTGTCCAACTGTAGGCTGCAAGTATGTGCTGCTCTTATTGGTTGATGAATAAAGCTGCTTGGCCAATGGACAGGCAGAATTTAGCCAGGAAGGAAATCCAAACAAGGCTAGAGAGAGGTAATAGGCAGAGTCAGGGAGACTCTGGTAAGAAAAGGCCAATTGAAGACACACAGATTAATAGAAATGGGTAAATAATTAAGAGAGAGCTAGCCAGTAAGAAGCCTAAGCCAAGGGACAAACAATTATAAATAGATATTCAGTCTCAGATTGGTTATTTTATAGTGGCTGTGTGGACCCAGTTGGGTGGAGAGAAACAGGTTCAGTGGGACCAAGACTAGACAGAGAAAAATCAATTATTTATAATTGTTATTAGGACTGGGGACCTGCCATATTTCTATCTCAAGACAGATGCCCAAACTTAGATGCACTCTGATGTGCCTGCTCATCTAAACTTCAAAAGTAGCCTTCCGCACACTGTCCAATTGTTCACCCAGTGATAACCAAGGAGGCCTTTGGTTATTGTCAGAGACTAAGTCAGGAAGATGACTATTATGTTCACACATCCATCTTCTAAGAAAAATCACAGTGCCATTGAAGGAATTAGGCCAGACCACTGTCACAAACCACACAGAGAAAGAACTAGCAGCAGAAGCCAGGCCAAGGATTTCCAGCGACTTCAAGGCAACACTTGAGTTTTATTCACTGTTTTCTAAGGACACAGGTCTTTAAGGAAGAAGATACAACTACGATGCACTATGATCTCATTTCATGACATGGCTGGTAGCAATGATGCTGCAGTGAATATGGAGCTTAGCTAGTTTTTTTGAGGTACCAGGTTTAATACTTTTAAATACAGCTCCAGAAGTGAGATTGCTGGAGGTATTGGCCAAAGGATACAAAGTTTCCATCATGCACAAAGTACATATCATGCAAAATAAAGAGAGTAGGAGGAACTTTCTGGAGGAGGTAAATCTGCAACGTGGTATTGATTGTGGTGATGGTTTTGTGAATGTTAGCATTCCTTTTCATTTGCCCAATTATATACATTATACACATAGCCTTTTGTGTGTCAATCACAGCCCAGTGAGGCAGTCTAAGAAAAGCTGCAGTTCATGTGAGTAGCTAGTATGCATTAAACATTCCAAGAGACAGACGAAATGGGGTGGTTCCACTTCCGAGGGAACGTCACACACACAGAGGGAGGCACTTACTTTAGAAACGCCCACAAACATAGTGGGCATTCTCACATGCTGTTTGCTGTGTTGCCAAGTAAAGATCTTTGCTTGATGATTGCATTTGGACCCCAGCACTGGAAACACATGCATTTAGCTCATTTCCAAGGGGACAGAATGGTTATCCAGGAAAATTTCCAGTCTTGGGACATCACACAAATGATTTGGTCCCTTAGTGACAGGTGGGTATTAAGTTGTCTCCATGATGTCTTGTTTAGCAATGGTAACTTAACCCGGCTAAATATGGACCTGTATTCTTAAGGAGCTCCCAGCCATGGCCATACCATTAGACAACACTAGAATGTGTTGAAACAATTATAAGTGACTAAAACACTATCAAACTTGTGAAACATCACCCGCACCCGCAGTCAAGGCTACCTGGTGGCAAGAAGTGGATAGGAATGCACAGGGCTGAACCAGGCTTCCTTCCTTCGCGGCATGCTGTCATAGATTAAAAGATCTTTCTCAGTCAGAACAACCAGGGCCGGTTTCCACTGTTTCTCACTCTCTCCTGGCACCTGAAACAGAAAGCAGAGAACTGTGAAACAGCTGGAGGACAGGGGTGAGTGGGGAAATGTGACATTGGCATCCCTTCAATCAGAGAACCAAACAAAATGAGTGCCTTTTGGTTCAGGCTTGAAATGCAAAGAATAACTGTAGTATGATCCTAGCAGTTCCTGACCACTGAAAATATTTGCTCCCAGGGCCCTGGCGTGTGCTGTCTGTACAGCCGAGGAGGAGGTGCACTTCTGTAGCTCATCTGCATCAGTTCTCACCTGTCAGTTATCGCTGAGTCTTTATTTCACCACCGGATGCATATGGTTGGGGGAATTAGCACTCTGGTATAGCACATTTATTATGAAAAATTTAACAGCTATCCAAAGGCACTGAAAAATATCCTGCAGATGCACATGTCTCCTCATTTGGATGTGAGACACACAGTCTTTTAAGTCTTGCTCTTGAATTGCTCTTGTGATTCAGGCACTGCTTCAAAATTTCTCTTTTTCCATTATCCGGTAATACTCAATGAAGGCTACCGACTTAACTAAAGGGATGAGATGACTGACTAGGAACAGGATAGAAGCATCAATTGGATACTTGGACCAGATACGTTTGTGCATCCCTCCCATTGCTGAGACCTGTAGACATCATCATTTTCAGGAGTTGGTTCTCTCTTTCTGCCATGTGGGTTCTGGAGATGAAATTTAGCTCGTCAGGCTTAGAGGCGAGCATCTTCACCTGCTCAGCCACCTTGTCTCTCTGTCCCTTTCATTCGGATTTTATGTATAATTATATCCTTTTTCCTTATGACAGTTGCTCAGCTAGGCTGGGTCTTCCTGCCCCAGCCTCTTAAGATGACAGGCTTACACTACCATGCCTGGCTTCACTGTCAGAGTGAAATCTGTACAGAGGGGGAGGCACATACATGTGACTGCTTTTCACACCAGCATCATGGCCAGTGACCAAAGTAGAGAAACTGTGCGGCTGGTACCGGGGTTGACTTAGATTCTAAATTCCCTGTGTGACCTGAGTACAGTTTTGGTGTTTGTGAACAGTGCATCTTTGAAGGTTCTTATTCCTGCTGCTTCTGCATCCTTCCTGGCAAACACATGTACACTGGGGGTGAGCGGTGTTGACTCTGCAGCCGGGAAGTCAGAGCACACATCCTGCTTCAGAGATCGCTAGCTGTCAGTCATCCAACTCCTTTGCCTTTTAGTTCCTGTGTCTGCAAAAGGGCAATTATTAGCATCCATCGCAGAGGATGGTGTGGAGATAGATGAGTTAGAGATCTGTAGCAGACTTGATTCCGTGCAGAGCAAGCAGCAGGGAGCCACCTTCTGAGGAGCACTGACTCCCAGTGTTACTCAAATGACTAAATGGGACAGTAAGTTTGATGCACTCCACAGCTGGCAGATGGTAAATAGAGATATTGTGGTGGGCCCACCATCTCTTTAAAGAATAATGTTGAAAAGGTGTTCTTTGTAAAAAATTATAAGATAAATCAACAATGCCTTTTATACTAATAATTTAAGTACCCTTTGTCTTCTTTTCCCAAGATCCTGCCACAAGAAGAACTTATCTTTAGTTTTTAATGTACTGCCTTCCAGCAATTCCAAACAAAACCTTGCTTTCTGAAGAGCATCCCCATCTTAATGTTTGTAAAGCTATTTATACTTGAATGTGAGTGAATGATTGCGGGCTTATCTTCCCTCCATTTGTATATGTTATGCATAGCTTATTGACTTTGTAAGACTTTCCCACAGCACAGCAAGAACATCTGCTAAAAGATCAAAATAGAGAAGAAGAAGAGCCAGTCTTTACAAGGTGAATAAACTGTGTATCTACAGGCAATAAGTGGTGTGTGTGCAGGGGTGGGGGGCTGCTGAAGTGAATTTGTCCAGCTTCTACATTAAACTTAGTAAAGTACTTTCTAAATCATTAATTAGGCCTGGAGAAGCTACATCCTGCCTCAGTAAAGAGTAGAGAGCAATTGATGAAGACACGCAATGTCCTTGGGGTCATGTATGTACACCGCCATGCAATTGCCCCCTCCTAGGTATGTTACATATGTAGATATCATGCCCATGGGAGAAAAAAAAAAGAACAGGATTTTGAAAAACATAACATGTTCCACGTGAGTCCCAGATTGAAGCCTGGGAAGCCCATTGGTTGTTCTTATCAGGCTCAAGTGTTTGTGTTACTGCTCTGGTGATCTCTTCTATTAGAAATCTAGCCTTTCTGGCAACCAAACATAACCCAATGTCAATACATCAGTTCGGTGTATGTGTGTCTGCATTTTATTAAGACATGATATCATATCTGAAGTGGATATGACAATGTCTAACTCCACTCCACGTTGCGCTTTGGATGATGTAACTGTTAGTTTCGGAAGCACTTGTTGCATTTCTAATAAAGAAGGACATTCCCTTCTATAGTAACTCAGAAGTAGTGAGCTGAGTCATCTTCCCTGTACAGCACAACAGAAGACAGGTTTGCAAACTAGAACAAAGGGTGTGAGGGGTGGTGAGATGACAATGGCTGCAAAGAATTGTGGCGAGTCTTCAGTTGGGTCTTGGGGCCCCATTGCCAGCGGGTCCCAAAGGTCTAGTCCTGGGGATACAAACTTTGTAAACTTGGGTCCTCTGTTTTGGTTAAATTGTAAGCCATAGAACATTGTGGAAAACCACAGGCAGCTGGTGTGGGGTTGTGTGTATGCTGATGGGGTTCTGACTCCTCACTGACTTCAAGTCTTTATCCCACACCCCTGAGTGTGGCTCCTATCAATCTTGGAATAGAAAACACTGACCTTGTCACCTATGAAGCACACAGAATACACACATTAATCGTTGCTTCCAAAATGGAAGTTTTACCAAAAAACGTTTAAAGTTATTTCCTTTAAAAAGGTGGTTCCTGGTAATACAGAATCTTTTAGACTAAAGGAACTATTAATAACCCCCAATGGAGGGCTTAACAAAGTGACTTGCACATTAAGCAGGCAAACCATCATGTTACCTAGGTTTACTATTACATTAAGTAAGGAGGACAATGCTGGACTCAAGATGTGAGTGAACTAGAACAAGGGACTGCTTTCCTTTCCTGATTTAATGTCTCCATTGGCCAAATAACAAGGCAGGCCTGAGTTAGGGACAACAGCCTTAAAGCCCTTCTTCCTTCCTTCCTTCCTTCCTTCCTTCCTTCCTTCCTTCCCTCCTTCCTCCTCCCTCCCCCCTTTCCTTCATGCACACATATCTGTGGAGATCAGAGGATTAACTTTGGGAAATTGCTTTTCTCTTGCCACAATGTAAGGTTCAAGGACTGAACCTGGATCTTTTGGCTTGGCAGCAAGCACCTTTACCCACTGAGTCATTTCACCAACCCCAAACTTAATGTCTCTTTCATTTGAAAGTCTCTGTGCCAGTCATAGAGACTCTGGCTTTGCCACTCTCCTTTGTTTTGAGTCCCTTCTTCCCCTTCATGTGCCTCCGTCTTCCCAATAGTCACTTCCCACTTTCTACTTGAGCATGGGTGGTGGAACAAGCTCATGATCTTCGGAGTCCAAAAAGGCTAGCTTCAAAATCTGGCTAGCTGAGAGGTACGAGCAGAGTCCTGAAGTTCCAGGTACACTTGTCCTCAGATACATCACATGCTGAAAATGGCCTCCCCGCACGCTTTGTGAAGACCAAACAGCAAGCGCTGGGCATGTTCAGCTGTCCCTGCACTCCGTAGGGCTTCAGGGACTGACCTATTCCGGGTGGCGAGGGAATGAAGAAAGGACAAACACATGGGCATACAGGAAAACTGAGATCAGGTGCACTGCTCTCTCTGGCGGAGAAGCTGCAGCGCCCAGGCAGCTCACTGGGTTTATTATGTACAGCTGAATAGGGAGGCATGGTCACTCCATCCAGATAAACCAGGAGCTGCAGTTAGTATACACAGCTGACCCAGGAGGCAGGTTTAGCTAATCTCAGCAGGCACAGTCTCTGTAGCGGAACAGTCTTCAGACTTTGAATATCAGAGGAGGAAAGCTGTGGTGGAAATTTTCTATCCACACAGTCACAGCTGAACCCAAAGATGTCTTTGCTAACCCTCTGAGCCTCATTTAGGGAAGGTTTTGCTACTCCTGTGGGCGAGGGATTCTTGACAGGGCCATGCTTGAAGTCAAATTATATACACTCACTGAGAACTTCACTGGCTTCCAATACTTTATGTCTCTCCTTATGTTCTGTTTCTCCTACTTACGCAGCTCAGAAAGGGAGGTCCACATGTAGGGATAGTGATGATAGCAAGGGGGAAAGCTCTGGAAAGTTGTTGACAACTTTTGAATCAGAGAGGCTGGTTATCATGGCTATGTTTTCAATTTGCCTGCCTCACCTCAAGTTGTCAACTGTTTGGAAAAAAGGACAAGATGCTAGTGTAGTAATAATCAGTGTATATCAATATGCCTCCCAGATACCAGGTAATTAAACCCGGCACCATTTCCCAAGGAAGCTGTTAGAGATGGAACCCTGGCCAAGTACCCAGCAAGGACAGTCATATCTCTGACTAATAGGCTAAACAATCCATAGGATGTGCAATAAGAAGCCAGAGACATGGGCAGTTAGATGCAAAGGAAACTGGGAAGTCAGAAAGAATAACTTAACATTTAAAGGAAGAAATGGATCTGGGGAGATGACTTAATTGATAAAACACTTGCTGTGCAAACATGAGGACTTGAGTTGATTCTCCAAACCCACATAAGCAGGGACAATGAACAGAAAAAGAAGGTATATGAAAGTTTGTTCACACCAAGTGTTGATCGGGGTGTGAAGCAACTGAAATTCTCATATACTTGGTTGGAATGAATACTGGTAAAACCCCTTTGGAAAATAGTTTATAAATTTCTTTGAAAGTTGACATCCACGTATCATTTGACTCAGCTACTCACATTCGCGTTACGTCAAGACAAAGCAAAATATATGGCCATGTATTTTAATTAACTATGTGATAGATTTGGAATCATCTAGAAGACATGCCTCTC